AATAAATTTAATAGGTCCTCCAGTCCAGGAGACCTACTTATTTATTAATTTTATTTTTTTTCCATACCTGCTACTGTTTATTTTTTTATTTGAAGTTGTTGATGATTAAGGTGGAAAACTTTCTTGTTTTTATACTATACCCAGTTTTATTATTTCATGGCATGGTCATGACCATTTGTTGTTTAATGATAAATTGTCCTTGATGGAAAATTTTAATTTGAATCAACAGCCAGCATAACTATCTTGTCTATGTTTTGTTGAAAAATACCTTTGCTATACCTTTGGCCTTTTTCTTTTCAACAAAAAAAAAATTACAAAGAAAATTTTATAAAAAAATAAAGGACTGAATATATATATATTGAAAAGGGCCTTATAACTGTTTTATCATGACATAACGAGCTTTGTATTCATGAGATTATAATGTTATCAAGATTTTTTAAGATAATGTCAAAAAAACACATATAAGCATGTTCTTTTGTAGTTTTTATACCAAGACAACAAGTTTACAGCCTTCAGATAAGAATTTTCATTGTACATTCCAATCAAAGATGGCCAAAGCTACAAAACATTGAAAATCTACCACAAAGCTATATTCAGGCACAGAGTGCTTTGAACTAAACACCAGTATGCTAATGGGTAATGCAAATATATGCAATTGTTCAACAGCTGTCGTCAGACACCACCCTGGTTGTTTGTTTACGTCAGAACTGAAAAGAGAGCTCTTGCTGTCATGGCTGATTTGTTTAAAAACGGTTCAAATATGGCAAAAAAAATTTAAACGATGAAAAATCTGCTTTCCCATCAGCTCTGATTTTTCTTTTTTATTCGTTTTCTTTGACTGTAGTGATCACATCAGTAAGAATAAAACTGTGAACTTCTCTTTTCCTCATTGCATTCACCAACAAAAACAAAGGTAACGTGTTTTTGCCATCATTCCGGTGAAGAACGTGACAAATTCTATCATTCCCCGGGCATTCGTAGCAACGTAAATATACAAACACAAAATGACAAACAGAACAAATGGATGCAACCCAGTCTAGATCGAGTTTAGTTGTTTCTTGGCAGCTACTGTTGGAATTCCCTTTTTTTCTTCTTTTAAACTTTATATTAAATTCTACTCATAAATACTGTGAAGAAGATCAAGTCATTGGTTTCCAGCCATCCACGAATGGATTCAAACTCAAGATATGCTCACAACACCTGAAAAAACCACTCAGCACTGTAACTCTCCGAGACTCCACCTGGAAATCACCTCCTAATTCAGCAAACTGTTGCAGCGTCTACTGAAGTATTATACTGGTTAGCTAAAGATATAATACAAGTACTGCTTGAAAGTGCTGAGAAGAAGCTTGGCACAAGGTTAGTTTTTTGTGTTTTTGAAAGAAATACTGTAGATAACATGTGTAAACAAAGACACTATCCCCGACCTAGCTGGAACCTTTTCTCCCGAAAAAAAGGCAAAGCTTTTGAAAAATAGAACACACCTGTACACAAGTCGAAGCAAATATATAGAAAATACATTTACACGTGTATAATTTACATTGAGTTTCATAACCCCTCTGGCAAATAAGATAAGTACTCTTCATTCAAAAAAAAGATGTTATGTAAAAGAAGCAACACAGCCCGACTGGTGTAAGGCTGAACTGCTGGGGGGTGGGGTGTGTGTGTGTGTGTGTGTGTGTGTGTGGGGGGGGGGGGGGGGGGGGGGGGGGGTCATTCATGAGTGGTTTTTATGGTGTGAATGGGCCAAAGCAGAGGTTTTACAGTGTTTACCCCAAACCATCTTTGTAACAAAAATGGCTCACGTTTACACAAACGTCGTTTTCACACATGCACTGATGCGCTTATGTTGTAAAACTCAATTAGCCATTTTTGATCTGAACTTTTTAGATTTTTTTTAATTTGTTTTGTTTTTTGTTGTTTTAGCAGCAGAAAAAAATCCCCAGAAGAGAAGTAAAAACAAATCGTCTGGAGAATTTACAGTAAGTGATCGAAAGAGCTTGCCTGTGCAGTGCTAATAGTTACTTTTCAATGTTTTTTAATGACTTGATACAATACTTTATTTATTATGTGCAGTCGAGTGGTCTAGTGAGATACTTCCCCACTTTCCTTCTGTCACATTCCTCTCTGTGAGAGCAAATCTCCAGAGGAAATCTCCTCCACTGTAAAATGCCTGTGTGAACGGCTTTCGTAGGGAAAACAAAAAATCTGGATCAAACTGTCCACACGTTTCCTTGAACATCTCCGGAGTTCATGTGTGAAAACAACTAAACTGGACATACTGGGACAACCTGTTATCTTTGGTTCCCTTTTTAGGAACTGAGTCTAGAAACCACATCAGTAAATTACAGGAAAGTAATTGTAAACATCCAGTGGACCCATAGTTTAAATCTGTACATATTGCTGTTAGCAGCCAGAAATGTTTACAATTACAGAATTGTATTTGTGCTTTGTACAAATCTACAGCACACTAAAAGGTAGATTATTAGACAACGTCTACAAAAGCTTCATAGCACAAAGGTAACTGAAGCCTGACGATTAATAATAATAAAATTAATTGGACATTTCTATCCTTCTCAATCACTGAGATACAGTAGCCAAACTCGACTTCAGAGACAGTTTAAGCTAATTTAGTAGCGGGTAATTGGCTGGTCTTGATACTTTACCGTATCTAAACCGAGAGGAAGTGTCAGATCTCGAATAAATTTTGCCCACCTTCCTTCAGCACAAATTAAAACAATCTGTCCACATTCCCATCATCCCAGCTGTGACAGCTGAATATCTAATATGGTGGAAATATTCTTCTCAAATATTTAAGTGAACCAGCGTTTGGAGAGAGCTGACCTTCACATCACATCCAAAAAGAGAATTCCTTCCAACTTAGTCCCTTTAAAAAAAAAAAAAGAAGAAATAAAACGAACATCATGCAGATCATTTGGGTCTTGAGGGACACCACGTTGGGACTTCCTCACAACCTGTTTTTCTGTTATTTCATGTTCTTTCTTCCAGAAAACGTAACTCATAACTGAGTGTGAGAATTTTGTCTAAAACAGCTGCTTTCTCAGGTAATATATGTACGATGTATTGTTTTTAATTGACATACCAAAAACCAGTTTGAATCCTGTCAATCTCTCTTCAGTACGCTGTGGTTGTCTTGATTCCAATTTTGTATGATTTCTCTGCTGTGCAATTTGTTAAAGCATGCACCACAACCACACAAAACTTTTGTATGCTTTCCGATAACCCAAATCACACACAGACCTCACACAATAAGCAGTTGATGTAGGCAATGAATTGATTTGCATTGTGGTGTTGTTTTTTTGTGTTGTTATCTTAGTTAGGGGCTCATATTCAAACTATTTAAACAGTGGTCTCCAGTAATCCTGACTTCCACTGTTAGGACTGTGGCAGGCTCTTAAGTGTACAAAAATAGACAAACTATTCTGATTTTAAAATGGGACTGATAGAATTTTTTTTCTTCTGTCAAATAAAGCATAAATCACCTCTGTTTCCATTGCCTCTCTTCCAAATCTCATAGAATAATGATTTATATAAATATGTTTTAGATTCTCTTGTAACACATTTCTTAAAACTATTTGAAAACATTTTCAAATACATTTATAGTATTTTTACATTTTGTTAAAAAATAAAGGAAAAAACATAACTGGAGTTGATACAGGGTTAATATAACTCTCTTTGTTTAGTCCTTCATGTATTGTAAAATTTCCATCTAACCAGGTTGTGGCACATAGTGGCATTATTGGCACATTATACAGTTCATCTTCCACCCAAAGCAGCTCCTTGGGCTTCTTCTTCTTCTTCTTTTTTTTCCCCAATTCTCCAACGTTTTCCTTCTGACATCCGTGATGTCCACAGTCTAGTTCCATACATCCTGTAAATATATCTATATATACTCTATATCTAAATGAATGTAGATTTCTGGAAAGAAAACGAGGCAGCACATTTCGGCTGCCCTTCTTGATGTCTATAAAAAAATAAATATCTTCACCAGTGTCCGAGAAGTGATTACACTATTTTACAAAATAAGCTGTTTTCTGTGTTTCTTGTTTCCAACAGGATCCTGTGGAAATAAGAGAAAAGAAAAAAATACTGAAGTTACTCATTGTGAGGCCACAACAACATTGGCTACAATCATACTGCAGGCAAACCAACCCAAATCCCTTTTTTTTTCCTTTCATGCGACCCATATCAGATTTTTTTTTCCTGCCAGTCTGAAAGTGACAAATCTGACTTTTTCAAATCCGACCCAGACCTTTTCAGTATGTGGTACTAAATTGGATACATATCTGTTGTTGTTCAAAAAAACTGCAGTCTGAACGCTCATGTCTAATTGAATCCAACTTTTACTTCATCAAGGTGGGCAGATCGGTCCAATTTTGTAGAATTGAGAGCAGTTTTAACTCCAAATGCCTCCAGATACAGAACAAAAAACCAAGTTGGTTTGGCTTTTTTCTTTTAATTTTCCATGTCCTGGATGACTGACCCCCCAATTTACACAGGGTCCGACCCCTCTGCAGTAAATATGCAACCATTATAATTTTTGAGAGCATTTGTGGTGTCCGCTCGCCACTGCCCTGCAGACACTGATCCACCAAAATTAGATTCAATCTTATTTTTGCCGGACGCCGGAGCTGCTCTGGTGTCAAACTACAAAAATTGCACTGCACAACAGGAAACGGAAGGAGCACACCATCTGTATTTTCAAAATAATTCACCAAAGGAAGAGTAATTTTGTCAAAATCCTAGCCATATTAATAAATTTGGTATATTTATACACAAATGCTGTCAAAATGCATCGTTCTGTTTGGGAAACGGTAACGTGCAGCATGCAGCATATGCATACACAAATAATACACATGGATTTTATTCTGAAAGCAGAAGTTTCAAAAAGGTGACAGCAATGCAGTTTAAACTGTGTGGAGTCCGTCTTGCACAAAATTAATTAATTTGCTCTGACTTCCACATTCATCACTGGATTTATGGCACAATCTTACATTTCCGCTTCTCGAAGCTCCTCTGTGCTTCGCACCAGACGCTGCATAAATAGGGGTGCAAACGAATGGCAGTGAACTGTGCAGCTGAGCAGAACCAAATGTATGAGTATTAGTGGTGAGAATCCATAACAGCACATATTAGTAACATCTGTCTTGGACTGTATTGAAACTAAAGTTACTAAATCGATGTTTTAGTTTTAGCATGTTGCTCTTGCAAAAATAAAAAAAGCTGCACCGGAGCAGTATGTCAGAGGGCAGCTTAAATGTAAACAGTGAACTGAACAAGTAGTTATTTAATCAGCTCTGATTACACAGAATCGACATACTAACATGTAGCATCCATTGGCTACTTCTGTAAACAGCGAGCTGAATGTGATATCATGTCTATTTTGGCTCATGTGGGTCGTATCATTGTCTTGAGGGGTTCATACTGGAGTATAATGATTGCTTTTAAAATATAATGTAGACATCCACACACAAAAAAATCCTATTTTTGCAAAAAAAAAAAATTGAGCTAAGGATTAAGACCTGCAGTGTGAGCGTAGCCATAGACATAATTTTAAAATTTATTTTCATTCGTATTGAGGAATGGCAACATAATCTAACCAGTAAAAAGCATGCAACCTTTTTTTTTGTTTTTAAAAGCCACACTACAGTTGTACACGGTACCAAAATCACTTAAACCTAATACCTACATTCAGTCTGCAGAGATAAGACCTGTTTACTTCAAGATTGCAGCACTGAGAGCATGCCATTGAAACTGAAGTGAATAATGTGTGTCCAGACAACAGTTAGGCTCTGTCCTCTCTCTACATTACCTGTAGGCAATAAATTCCTTTGAAAATCTGGGTCAATAGCAAACGTTACACCTCCCCCTGGCTCTCACCAACACTGTGAGGCCGGAGCATGTGTTTAATGTTGACACTTTGAATTCCAATATGCTGGGCCATTCTGCTTTATTTTTGTTGTGCATAAAAAATGTGTCTTGATTAAGTGAAATTTCTTTCTGGTGCTCTGCATCTATAGAAACTCTGAAAACGTTGAAAATGGTTTGTTTTCTTTTCAATGTTTTGGATCTCAAGATTGAATTAATTGTGACCATACAGTGCTAATTTATGGATAGTTGGTCTTTTATCACCAACAAAGACTTGTTCTGAAGTGGATTAACAACCCATTTTTTTCACAACAGCGCAGTGCACAGAAAAGAACATAATTTTGTCACAAATCACAAACATGTGCCAAGTTCCTCTCTATTCCCAAGGTGGGGCAGCATCACCATGAGGATGGAGGTAGTTAAGCCTCAGATGATGATTTGCAGAGGGGAGACTAAGTGGAACAGTACCCACCAGAGCGTGAATTCGGGATGTTATTCCCACAGAAGATGAAGAAAGCCTTTCAGCTCGTCAACAAGAGATTTCGAACCATTTCTCCGACACAAAGGCCACGGGTATCAGTTGTCTTTCAGTGGGAGAAGGCCTGTTGGGGGTGGGGGGGGGGGACGAAAATGATTAGAAGATTAAACTGATTGCAGCCAAGGTAATATAAACCAGAAACCTTTTACACCTGTGATTTTACAATGTGCCACCTTCAAGGTCTAATTATTTTCCTAGTTACCCTTCGGTGGCCCAGTCAACACTGTAACGCTGTCCCATTCAAACACAAAAAAACTGCTTCACTTATCAGCAGTGACGTTGTTAAGCATGTAAAATATACCAATAAAATTTTTTATTACCTGTTCTCGTTAAATATAGACACTAAATAAATCATTTTTACCCTCCCTGCCAATGTGCTGCAATGAATCCGTAACAAGGGTTCGGCTGCACTGAGTAGGTGTTTTCATCTTTGCTGGCCTGGTAGCTTCGATGACCGTTGCTCTCATTCACTCAGACTATAATAAACACAGTAAATTCTCTGCCAATTTACTGTCAAACCTCCTACATAATGACTGCCAAGCACACCTGCCACTTGAAATAAAATGGAGGAGAAAGCAACCTTTACCTGTTTCTGTGATTTAAACATGAGTTTATTGAGCAACATTATTTTAACCTATATTATATTTGCCATTTAAAGTACAGTAAGAACTTTAGATAACAACTACACCTTATTTAGCCGCCTAATCAATAATAAAATGGTTAGTTAACCTTGAAAACATCATTAACTAAGGATGATTCATACTTATTAAGCTATAAATTAACACATTTATTAATGCTTTACCCATAAAGGCTTATTACTTACTTATTGTTTATTCATGCTTAATAACTCATTTTTTCATACATATACTATGTATATGTTTTTGCATGCAAATGCTTATATTAAAGTACTTCTAGAGTGTTACCATAAAATGAAGGCCAAATAAAAACTGAAAAATTAAATAGCAACATGCATTTTGTGAGATGCCTTGACTGAGTCACAGAGTCACATGGGTGAAGAATTCTGCAAAGGTTACTAGTATTAAAAGCAACCAATTTGTGTTGAGGTTTGTTCAAACAAACATCTGACTCAAACTGATTGGGACTGAAAGGAAAAACGCGGCAAAAAAATGAATCCAAGATTGTCATTTTGATGGAAATTTTCTGTTTTGTCACTTGTTCTAATATTTTTCATGCTTTTTTGTGAAGAATACAACTCATATTCTATTGACAAAAATCTTTAGACATTTCTGACTTGAAAAATATATAATTTAGAATGCAGTATGTTTACTTTCCAATAAAGGGATAGTCTGGTCATTTATGAACTGATTTTCTTGTCAAATGGTCAATACTTTATCAGTCACAACATCAAAGCACAGAGTGCAAAGAAAAGGGCACAAGTCTTCATCTAAGCTAAGCTAAAAGCTAACCAAACACATGCTGAATTTGCTTAACCAAGTTATGTCAACTGGTTCCACTAAACTGAGCTGAGTTAATGTAAAGCATAAACTGTCTCAACTCAATTTAGTGGAACCAAACGTAATTTGGTTAGGTAAATTCAGCATTTCTTTTCTTAAAATGCAACAATAACAGTCAAGTTTAAGAAGATGCTAATTACTGATAGCTATCACTTCAAAAGTGACCTATTCTTTTAGGTCCGTCCTTCACACCTGTTTCCGTTGTAAGAAGTCTTGAAGACAGGTGTCTGCTGGATCATCTCATCGGTGTAGATGGGCACGGCAGTCCGGACGCACTCGTGCGAGCACTGCAGGCTGTCGTTGTAGGCAGTGAAGATGTCCACCTTGCTCGGCACTCGGGCCGGGGTGAAGTCTGTCAGGTTTTGGCAGCTTTCCTCTTGCTGGTGGATCTTTCTCTGATGGCTATTGTGGCGGCCATTTCCAGACTGTGCACAGCTACAAAAACACGCACCAAAGACAAGAAGCGAACATAAAATCATACCTGGTACCTTCGGTTCAACTGTTAAAAATTCTGGAGAAACAAAACATAAATAAAATTTAAAAAAAAAAACACAATGCTGTGAATCAAACGTAAAGGAATCTTTCCTACCAGTTTTTAAGGACAAGTGTTGTGATCAAGGCTGCAATAACCATGATGAGAGACACAGTGATTGTGATAATCTGGTGAACTGCCAAACCTGCAGACAAACAGAAATAAACATTAGCAAATAATTTCCTCCCCTATTTTCAGAGGCACCCTGCTGTTCACACTGCTGAGGGGTGTGCTTCTTTTGTTTCTTGTTTTGATTAAACTTGATGAACTTGCACCAAGTTTCTAGGGCAGCTCACTCAAAAGATAAAACATTACAAGTCGCAATTTCTCAGTGATTAAATAATTATATGGTGAGATTAATGAGATTGTTTTTTATTGTGTAACATTTCCTTTTTGTGACATTAAAAAAACAAACTCAAACCTAATTCTACTCCTGAACAGGACTTCATTTTAATAAGACCTGGTGTGATTTTACATTTATTCACCTCAATGAAAGAAATAATGCCCCAAGGTTTTCATGTCAGCATTAAATGGGAGCAAATGTTGGTATCGTGTATCAAAAAAAGCAATCAAAAGGATAATCCTGAAAGGTAATCTGCACACTTTGAAAACAGAGACAGATGGAGTGCTGCAGAGAGACACATTAATTGATATTTAGGGCCTTTGAGGGAAACAGCAGTGGAACCTATTTAAATGAGCAGAATCACCTACTTTAAAAATGGCACACATCACAAAAAATATGCTTTCACGTTCAGCTACCAAACAACATTTGCATTCCTTTGGAGTTGTTTGTGTGTTCAGTACGTTGAGGTCTTCTTTAAGTTCTATTTTGTGCTTCTCTTAAACTTGACGGCAACTTTTAGTTTGTCGCCAACTTTATTTCCTATTTGATGATGGATGGCTTGCAGTTGCTTCATTAGAGCCTCGTTTCTGCAAGGCAGCTGAGTGATAAATCTGTAAAAGGAAAATAAAGGAGGAGTTTGTGGAGGGGAGGGGGTGTTTTTGCATCACCCATAGCGGTTTGATTTATTGTAAATGTCAAAATTTGAAATAATGTAGTTTGAAAGAAATCACAGATGCATCGTTGCATCCTTTTTGTGCTTATTTATATCTGTTTTTCGTCTGTGCTACACTTATTTACCTCTGAACTAAAGAGCTAATTAACAGAAGACTGGACGTTTTCACGGGTCAAAGCTCCGACCTGCTGATGTTAAACTTTGACACGCCTTGCGTTGTCTTAAACCTCAGTGTACTACTTTAATTGATCTCTGAATATCTATCCGGTGGAAAAAAATGTGAAAATAAAACCCAATTATTTCACAAGTTAAAAAAGGCAGCAGGTACTGGTGAAGAGATAACACACGTCTGCTGGATCCTGAGCAGTCATCTGAGCATTAGAAACAAATTTGTAATCTTCCTGGTGTTATTTGATTCAAGGAGGATTACAAAACCCCCAAGCCTTTGTATAATCAGTCCAACCTGTGAAAACCATGTAATCACAATTTCACACACTGACATCTTCCAAGTGTTTGGGTTAAGGCTTTGTTCTGTTGAGCTGTTTGGACAGTAAAAAAAAAATGTTGCCATAGTTTAATGGGATCATTTGACCTTGTTCTTATTTGAGACATCTTACACAGCATACATGTGAGCGAAGATCCAAAATGTTCTCATCTCGCCCCGTTTGTTCTTGATAACTGAAGTAGAAATGCAGTGTTCTGATTTACACTCTTAAGACTCTCATGGTGCTGATCTCCTCTTTCTTTTATCAAAGACAGTAATCCACAAACAAAACTGTGTAGTACATGTTTAAAGTAAGGATTAGTTCAAGACCACTGCGCTGCACTTTAAGGTGTATTTGTGTGGCTGAGTGATGGAGCTTGAGAGCAGTCGGGACAGAATGACACACTGCAGCAGGTGACTCGCTGCAGGAGAACAAAATAAATAAATAAGAAAGGCCGTAGTGATGAAAATGCCCATGCGGCCCGTATACATCTCACCTCTCCATCAGTCAGCCGCCTAGCTGCTGATCCAGGCCAATTTGTCTCTTGAAAACGCTCAAAAGGAAGTGCTACTCTTGGTCATTTTGGAAAAGAACACCAGCTCTCCCCTGCTTCCCTGATAATAAACTTTGTGTGGAAAAGGCCAAGCCGGTCAACCTCAAACTAATGATATTTCTGGTTAGCCTTTCCCAGTGCAACCAAGTCTCTTGGCATGACAAAGGCACATTAACTTATCTGGAAAGTCATTTGCATTTTTAGCGAGCCTCCTTTCTATCTTCCATCTGCTTCTCTGTCTGCTTCTGGCTGGTGCTGAAGTTGAAAATTGTTCGGTTTTAAACAAACATCTGTTCAACTTCAGGCACAAGTGAACTTGCCTTTGACCCTAATCAATAGCTGAAGTGTCCTCAGAGAATTTACCTTGTATTGACAACAGATTAAAAAGAGCAACCCTGCAGCTAGGAGAGTTTGAACTGCAAACTGCACTTGGTAAATTTGCCCTGTAAAAATGTAACTGATTAAAGCCCATTATAAAGCTGAATTAGGCTCTGCTTTATCTCAGCTTCCAATAGAAACTACTATATTAATTTAGATAAGAGGAAGCTTACTGACACAGATGGTAAACAAGAACACTGTGTGTAGTTTAGGCAGGGTACTTAAGTCAGAGGAGCTCATTAAATGTTACATCAGGCTGCCATTTGGGGCCAAAATATGCATACAATCTTGGTACAGTGTCTTAATGAAACAAATGAAGCCTAGAACGTGAGGCTCGGCTGCACAAATACAACATTAAGCTGATTTTTAAGGCACATTTAAGGATTCAGAGATTACACAGCACATGGTTGACCATGTTGAGTTAGCACAATGTTTTTCAAAGAGGGCTGCGGCCCACTAGGGGCTAACAGGGTGCCTCAGAAAGCTATTGAAAAGAAAAAATGTAATCTATTATAAGTTGTAAATCATTATCATATAATCTAATATGTTTTATTCACTATTTTAAACTATAATTTATAATTCATGTGTTGAAATGTTATTTAAGAGAAGCTGAGAGAGGTTTGATTTGTTTTGTTCTGTTTTATCCACAACAGTCATAGCCAGCAGTTTGTTACAAAGGTATAGTTTCAGGCAGAATATAGTCCAGCATAAAACTTTATAACAGTTTAAAACATGTTAGTTAATAAAATTCTTAAGCTAAACAAATGTAATAGTTATTAAAATGAATAAAAGTGAGTAAAAACACTCTAAAATTGATGTTCCTTTACATATTGTTTTATTTGTGGGTTTGTTTGCATGCATGGGTGTGTGTGTTTGTGTGTGTGTGTGTGTGTCCCTGGCCAGAAGTGAACTCTATTTGGGGACCATGGCATGAAAAAGTTTGAAGAAGCTCTGGGTTAAAAGACCAGTTTTGTGCACGTTGGAGATGGAAAAAATGTCCTTAGTGTCTAAAATTGAATGTGGCTGGCAGCGTTTGTATTTATTTTTACAAAATAATGCAAAAAACGTTGTTGTTTTTGAAACAATTATCCTAAAATGATGGTAGAGATTTTTTTGGGTTGTGAATTCTGTCTTTAATTGTAGTGGTTTTAATGGATTATTGCAGCAAACACTGGAAAAGAAACCTTTCTGCGCTTCTGACTGAAAGACGTTGTCACTGCTCCATTACTCTATAACTGAGGACTTGAACTGGACTTTGCATCACTAATTTAGAGAATTGTTCCACCCTTAATACGTACATAAAATCTGCATATGCGGCTATAAAAAAATCAGCTTTTTGCAGAGCTGGTTTGCCTTCCTGCTGATTACATTGTGAATTATATGACAGCATCTTTATTGCAGGCAGTTTGACTTCTGAGAGAGAGACAGTTGTAACAAGGCAATGCCGGACAAATGATGTCCCCCTTAAATGACTATTAAATTACTGGCCATGTATGTATGACTTATTTCTGTTCATGTGCAAGCCTGATTGTTGGAATGTTGCGGAATCCATCATTCTTTGCAAAAAGCCATTTGGAGCTAATGGTTCATACACCCACTCAGTGTTTGCTTAAAAGCTTCTGAAAAATGTGGGGAAGGCCCCTCATTATGAACAGAGTTGCAGCTTGGAGAGCGTGAGCCTCTTCACTCCCACAAACCACTGAGCACATTTGCACAGGCATAATCAGAACACGCTAATATCCTTTCTGACCCATCCAAGATTGCCTCCACAGCAACCGGGCACCTTCTCAGGACAGTGGGAGAGGACTTCTGTCAAAGGCTGAATGCTGATGGTTAGGAATTTCCAATTAACATTGATGTCAAAATGTCAATCTAGGCTGATTTCCACTGAGTAACCAAGCAATCTAAAACACTTATTGCAAAAGCAGCAGAGATGGAGGAGCAAGACAGAATGAAGAGGTAAGGTGAAGAGGGAGAGATCAGACACACTTACTCTAAATGCTTTTTCATTCAATGTCAAAGGCATTGCTGCATAATTCAGCCAGCCTGTTGGTAAAAGGTAAAATAGACCAAAAAGAAGGAAAAAAAGAGAAGAAAATGGGGTACAGAGAGTATATTGCCTCAATGATAGCTACCCAGAAAGAGAGATACACTCATCCTGAGACTGTATTAGAAACAGCGAGAAACACTCAAGAGCTCATCATGTAGCAAACAAATGAAAATGACTGCAATTTTTCGGTGGATGTAAAGTGCCATTGCATCTGCTGCAGCTTCAAACAACCACCCTGAAGTCAGCATGCTGTCACGTTGATGGAAGACTTTTTCTTCTTCTTTTTTATATAAGAAAAACAATGTTTAGCTGTGCTGTTTAACGGGCGGATGGACTGTGAAAGACACTGTGCGCCTTGAGTCCATCTCCTGTCTGAAAAAAGCTCTGAGTTTTTCTAATAAGGATAAAACTTAAATGAGCGATCTTATCTCTATTCTGCTTTGGCTTTTCTGACTGACAGTGCATTCTCCTGAATTCAAAACGGTGTTCTCAGTCGACGTTTGTACTTTGTTCTTTGCTTCTCTGAGGCAGATGTGCCACAAAGAAAAAGGTGGAGGAACAGAAAAGTAAAGCAACATCTGCTCAGTCTCGCCCCATTCTCCTCCTTTTGGCTGAGTTGTCTGTAAATCAGAGACTGAGGGTTTGACTTCGCACGCCTGTCAC